GCTTTTTGGTTAAAAAATTTAGAAAGATGTAAAAAGATATGTCCTCCCTGGTTCCATCCCCCTAACCTGATCCTGGAAAGCATTCCTTGGACCGTTTGTGGGGAGTCATGGCCGTGGCCACGGCAGCCTGGGCATATGTGCTTACGGCGCACAGTGACAGAGGGGCTTCGAGAAGTCTGTGGAAATGGAATTGAAAGTTAGTGCTGTTTTCCCATGAGCTTTGGAAATTTCCCATATAATCACAGTGCATATTCTTTGGTCTCTTGTAATCATCTCATGGTAGTGCGAGAAACATCATACAACCATCTGAGGGGCGATTTTATTTTAAAATCATTTTGTTGGGGGCTCGTACAACTCATCACAATGCATATATCCATCCATTGTGTCAAGCACATTCATACAAATGTTGCTATCATCATTCTCAAACCATTTCCTTTCTACTTGAGCCTTTGGTATCAGCTCCGGGGGAGCTATTTTAATGAATTTTTGGAATAGTCTTGTCAGTGGCTTGGCCTGCGTTTGCGCCCTTCTTGTCTAGTAGTTGGGTCTTGTAGTCTAACTGAATCCTTTGCTTTCACACATGATGGGTAAATTAGCGCCTATGCCTTTTCCATGTTTGGCATGAATCTCTGATGGTCTATTTGGGGGAAGTAAGTTGCCCCTGCAAGAGGATGTTCGTTTCCAAGCCTTTTCCAGAAAGGCTTGTCCCAGCTGTCCTTGCTGCTGGGAGGGCGTGGGAGCAAGATGGGGCCCGGCCTGGCGGCCCCACTGCAGAATCCAGACACCTCACCCTGTTCATGCCACTGGAGCCTTCACCCGTAAGGGGCCTGCTGTTCTCTCCACGACCGACCGTTTGCCTGCCCCCCTCATCTATTTGCCTATGCTCTTGTCTGAAACAGCCAAATGATTACACCACAAGTATCTACTTCTATGTGTGTTAGTCTGGGTAGACTAGAGAAACAAATCCATGGACACACAAATGGGTATAAGAGAGAGTTTCATATAAAGGGTAACTGTACGTTAAGAAAGCATTCCAACCCAGTCCAGTCCAAGGCCATAAGTCTGATATTAGTCCATATGTCCGATA